CTCAACACTGTGGGAGATGTAGTGTTTCTACAGCCCATTGCCACTGAAGCAGGACCAAATGTGTGAAGTTGTAGCATCTCAGTTTTTCCAGAGATTCTATTAAAATGTTGACAATTATATTAAAGTTTAAAAGAAACAGGAATTGGACACCGGCAAAGAATACCATTGCTTTATTTTTATTACGTTGGACTTGCACTTTTGTTTATGATGATCAATGACTGTCCAGATCCCTGTAAGTGGTTCAGACCAGACCACAAAGCCCTAGTGGTTTTGTGGTGTTTGGGCACTCCTACAGAGGAAACCTGGGTTGGAGTCCCATTGCTGATGTTTTCAGTCTGAGGATGTGCCTGTCAATGGTGAGAGGTTCATGGGTTGTTTGGTAGCTGGTTATTGGATTGTTGTCTGATAAGAAGGCTGATCAATGCAATTTATTGTACAGCATAAAAACTGCAGGCCCATTTTCATGGATAGCAACGCTAAAGCTAAATGCCTTTTCCCTGGAGATGGCAAACAAAAGGAAATCTGCACCAAGTACCTAGTGATCTAAGAAGAGATCAAAGAGTGATAGTGTTACAATTACAAATGATGAAATGCACACTTGTGCAGATTGCTCAGTAATATAGTAGGCATTCATTTAAGGGGAATTTCTTTGCAGCGTACAGCATTGCAAACACATGTCTAATAGGTGCATTCATTTTAATATGCTCATTCATTGAGCAGGCCTGATTAATTAGTGCGTGTCACCATCTGGTACTTACTGAGACTATTCATTTTTAAAATGTTGAAATTGTAGGGAATGTTGCACACCAATTAAGTTCCTTTTAATTGGATTATGTTAGTATAAAGTATTACTGGAGAAGGCCTTCGTTGTGATTCAGCCAGCATGCATCTAAAGGAGCCCCGCCAGCCTGAAATTACTTAGAACAAAGGGAGAATGCCTGAAATGCATATTTATTACTATCTTTCTGCACTCAACAAAGATGATGTCAACAAATAGGAGCCACAAAAATACTTCTACATTTCTATGCAAGGTTCAGTTTACTGACGTGAGGACGTCTCAACTGATTACTTTGCACTGCAGCTCTGAATCTGTCTTCTTCCACCTCTGACCTGCAAAGTGAAATACATTTTTGTGTTTCTGTTTGTTTGGTATCAACTCAACAGGGCCAGACTGAGCCCTCCTGCATGCAGTTGTGTATCTGCTGAAATGAGGAGCATCGTTGTCATTTACACAAAGAGTGATTTGGCCTTTAAAGCTGATAAACTATCAGTGCTGACTCAACCATTTAGTGAATGAAGTAGCACAATCTGCTGGCTGCGGCACCATGTTAGGAGCAGAACTTGTCTGTCTGTACTTGCTCCTGTCACTGACTCACTTGGTGAAAGTTAGTTACTTAACATCATTGCACTGCAGTGTTTCCATGTATAAATTGTGGATAGTTATGTTTATCAACTCACGTAAAAGGCTTTGAAATACAGGGTTGAAATGCACAGCGTTGATATTATGTATTCACTGTCCATGCTTTCTTTAGAAGCCTAATGCTATTTTGTATTTCACATTTGGGGTTGTCATTGTCTTGATTTTGCAGAGATGATCTTCAAGTAAGTTCTGTCATCTGAACTACTCATTTCAGAAGAGCCAGGAGCTCTGTAGAGTACATGTTCCCCTGCGTTCCTTAGCAGTTACACGAGCTGTGATGGAAGCGGGGAAGTTACGTACTAAAAGACACCTCATCAGTAGCAGCTTAAGAGATCTGATGTGCAAGTGCCCGGATCTCTTGTTGACCTTCTTTGTTTTGGAAAGCAGGGCGGGAATCCAGGAATGAACAATTTCAGGATATTTTTCTCTTGTTGGATTAGTGCAAGGCTCCGTTCCCTTCCGTGGCCTCTGCTGCCCCCTACCAAGTTGCAGCTGCTGTTCCCAGCAATGGAAGCGACAGCCTGAACATGTGAAGAATGTTTTATATCTTCTAATACTGAAAGAAGATCTAATTCCTGTTATCATTCATAATCACTCTTGCTATAATTATCTCTCATAGTAGGGAATCTGTAGTTGAAACAGTAAATGTATTTTCTTTAAAGGGAAAGAACACATCAGACAAGTTGCTCCTAGTTGCACAGCAATGAAGAAGCTGCCTGAATTTCTTTTAGAATAGAAATACTTTTTTAGATACATAAAGGTTACTATGAATTTAATTTGTAATAGCATAGGAGTGCTTCTGATTGCCATGTGCGAAAGTAGCACAATGTTGGAATTGTGTTGGTTGTTTTTTTAAGATAGATTTCCTCTAGTTCGGAGGTGCCTATTTCCTCTTTGTTGCAGCTGCAGGCAGCGTCAGAGCATGCTGCAGGAACTGCTCATCCTGCATCTGCCGAGGCCAGCTGGACATCCAGCTATAGTTTATCAACCTGAGGAGTCTGTGGCACCTGCTGGTACACAGACCGTGTCAAAAGTCATGTTGGAGAATATGGTTGTGTTGAAACCATCTCCATTAGGTGCTGAAGAGTGAAAAATCTAAGATAGCTGCATGTGTCTTACATATTTTCTGTGTACAAGTTAGATGTCTGCCTGCATTTGCATGGACACATCAACATGTATTTTCTTTTGACGGTAAGCTGCTGCAGGTGGTGCTCCTGGGGCGGGGGATGTATGTTTGCGCAGGGCTATGACCATGGCATAGTTGTTACTACCGACTGGAGCGCTGTGGTGTAGTTCTGCTGTCTCCTGTAGTTTGTATTCATATGTTGAGCATAGCCCTCATTTGGGTTAGAGGAAAACCGATTAGTGTCGGGGTACCTGAGGGAATGAGAGCGAGTACAACCATCAGTAAAACACGGAAGTGCAGTCACCTGAAGGTGTGCAATACAGTACCTTCCCATTTCTGCCCCAACATTATTAGCAGGAACTGCTTGACCTCAGAGGCCCTAAAGCTGTCTAATTTGTGATAGGATTCTAGAACAAGTGCAGTTCATGCATCTTCAGAGAAATAGTATTACCCTGTTAAATCTGAAAACCACACACATCTGCACTGTACCTTTTGTTTAATTGTTTGTTCAGAGGTTTTATGTAATGGGGAAATATAGTTTCCAAGAAAACATTTAGTTTAGGCTCTCATTAGTGTAACTTTACTCCTTTTATTTGTTAAATACATGAAAAGGAGCTAACCAGAGAATAAAATTCTAGTATGTGTGCGTGCTCTCTCTCTGATTTTAGGAGAAGTATTTCTTACTGTAAGTTTTTCTGCTTACAGTATATGGGCTTGCAAAGTGTTGAAGCAACAAATCTTGGCAGAGATGAAAAAAATACAAAGGCATTTTATTCTGTATATATAAAACAAAGGCTGAAAGTTTGGGCAAATCTCTATCTGGCAGACTTTGTCTTTTAGGTCATACAGAGGAAGCTTTTGGCGCTGACTTTTTGGCAGAAAGCTTTGTCTGGAAACATATTTAGTCAATGTATGAAATATGATAGCCCTGGTACCATGAATGTGCCTGAAGATAATCCAATAGAGTTAGACTTCAGCTCCATCTGGTGTTGGAACAGGATTGCTGTATTTGAGTTTGCCAAAACACAGAGCAGTACGTGAGGAGACTGAGAAATTTATTCAAGCGTCGGTTTTACTCATGGTTTCTATTGTTTGCTACACTGATGAAAACCAGTTGTGCCCATGGTGAGTTCCAGCAGAGCTGTCCTGCTGCTAGGTTACTAACCATGGGCTCTGTAGTGAGCTGTGTCTTTAACTGAAGGGCTTTATTAATGCCCTTTCAGTGTACCTATGTGATCAGCAAGTATATTTTCACACAAAGCCTGTAAGAATATAAAAATATTGATTTTTCTATGCTTGCGTTTACAGAAGTAGCAGTGGACAAACAGATTCTTTCACCTCAGTAAAATGTCTCCAATAATTTGAGTTATGCAACAGTGATGAAGAGACCAGACTTGTGGATTTGGCTTAGAAGGCTTAAAATCTTCAGGCATTAATTCATGAAACTCTCAAATCCTGGATATTCCAATGACTATAAAGCACAGCAGATTTGTGTTTGGTTTTTACTTAAGGCTGATCGTTTCAGGAAATAAAAAGGTTTTACTTTGAAATACATTTCTAATTCTTTTTCAATTGTTATTTCTGGAGGGGTTAGGTAGAAAAGCTACATGTGAAACAAATCAGAGGCTAAAAATCCATAGCTTCATTTTGAGGCTGTAAGAATGGTTTATTGCCACTATTGTAAGCTAAAGGAGAGGAAACAGACTTTCTAGAAAGGTTTCCCCAGCATTTTTAGCCGACTTTTCCAGGATAGCAGTCCAGGCTGTCCCTTCAACCAAAACACACCTCCAGTTTCAATTTGACTCTGATAAAGAAGGTGCTAAACTGGCAGAGTTTAGAATCACTTGAACATACGCTGTCATTTAAGCTGAACTCATTCCCATTCGAAGCTAAAACAAATTATCTCGATTGCATTTAGCAGAGTAAAAGTACTCTTACTTTCCTGTCACATGCAAAAGTAATTCTACTGAAAGCGATGTGCGCTAATCTTCAGGTTTATATCCTCTTCCTAGCATTTGCTTTAGTGGACAAAATTAAAGGTCAGTGGTCCTAAACTAGTCAAGACAATTATTCTAAATTCTCAGTCATTGCCATTTCTCTCTTCTTTCAGTAATACAGGACTTAGCTGTCAAAGTTTTCATTCTTTATGTATGAGAAGAATGATATTTGCAACTCTTTTTTGCATTTCAGTGACATAGTTTTGTAAATTTAGGTAAAAAGAGCTAAGACCATCAGCAAAAGGCTATTTGCTTATTCCAACTTGTGCATTGTGTAGAAGACACAAGTATGATGATCAGCCTGTTTTTTCCCTGTTCTTATCCTCATTCTCTTTTGTGTTTCAGAATGATCACTGCTCAAAACAGTAGCCATACAAAGTGAGCAGAGCAGAAACGTATGGGTGAAATTCTTACCATGCACTGAACAGCACAGCATCAAGTGCAGAGCTCTGGGAAGATGTCTGCTTGCAACACTTTCACTGAACACGTCTGGAAACCTGGTGAATGTAAGAACTGCTTCAAGCCCAAAAGCTTGCATCAGTTGCCCCCAGAATCTGAGAAAAAAAACCTCTCGCATGGCAATCTGAAACCAAATGCAAACCAAAGTAGCAGCCATCGTGGGAGAAATACGGGAAATTTCCGACCACCTGTGGCAAAGAAACCCACTATAGCTGTGAAACCCACCATGATGGTAGTAGATGGGCAGGGGATATGTGGCGAGATCAGCACGCCGGATCATTGTGAGAATAAACCGGTGCCTGCAGGATGGAACCGAAACAAGGCTGTCTTGAACAAAAAACCACTGAACAACAATAACGAAGATGAAATCGAAGGTTATAACCATATTCATAGGCCTTATGGCAACAGCGACGGTGTAGGTAAGGTACCAAGTAACAATAATAATGGACTGACAGAAGTTTTGAAGGAGATCGCGGGTTTGGATACCACACCTCAGCTAACTGGAAATGAAATGAACTCAAGGGAAACCTTCTTGGGAAGAATAAACAATTGTTATAAGAGATCGTTAGAAAGAAAGATCCCTCCAAGCTGCATGATGGGTGGAATGAAGGATTCACACAGTAAGCATGTTATTCTGAGTGGAAGCACTGAAGTAATAAGTAATGAAGGTGGACGTTTCTGTTATCCAGAGTTCTCTAGTGGAGATGAGAGTGAGGATGACACGTTTTTTGGCAGCATGCAAGAAGAGCACGAGAGCTGGGATGAAAGCGATGAAGAGTTGCTAGCAATGGAAATTCGTATGAGGGGCCAACCTCGCTTTGCTAATTTTAGAGCTAACACCCTATCTCCTGTTCAGTTCTGTGTTGACAAAAAATGGAATACTGTGCCCCTTAGAAACAAGTCTCTGCAGCGGATCTGTGCGGTAGATTATGACGACAGTTACGATGAAATTTTAAATGGTTATGGAGAAGAGGCTATGCTTCTTTATGGGCAAGAGAGCATGCAGAGCATGGTATCTTCTGATTCTACATCTCCTGATTCTTCTTTGACAGAAGAGTCTCGTTCTGGAACAGCCAGCAGCTCTTCCCAGAAGGTCTGTAATGGGGGGTTATCTCCTAGCACTCCTCAGGACCTCAAGTTAATTGAACCAGAATATGAAAGTCTTTGCGATAGTCAACAAGTGAAGGATGTGTCAAAAGCTCCCAGAAATGTTCCAAAAAGCCCAGAAACTCACAAGGCAGTCCTTGCGCTTCGACTGGAAGAGAAGGATGGCAAAATTGCTGTGCAGACTGATAAACAAGAGAGTAAAAGTTCTTCAGATGTTGCTGGTCAAGCCGTAACTATAAATTTGGTGCCTGTGGAAGAGCAGGCAAAACCTTACAGGGTAGTGAATATGGAACAACCAGTTTGCAAGCCATATACCATAGTAGATGTATCAGCTGCCATGACCAATGAACGTAAGGAGAATCAGACTGAAACCTCAGAAACCAAAAATACATCATCTAGCCCAAGCTCCCCAGTAACTCCAGGCATATCTATTACATCGTCTACAGCATCGCCTGTACGAGTCAATGCTAATCTGAAAAAATCTAGTGCAATCAGATATCAAGAAGTGTGGACTTCTAGTACTAGTCCAAGACAGAAGATACCTAAGGTGGAGTTAACTAACAGCTCAGGACCTTCTGTTCCTCCCAGGAAGACAAGCCACAAGTCAGCTCCTACTTCACCTACAGCTACGAACATTTCTTCCAAAACTATTCCGGTTAAGTCTCCCAATTTATCTGAGATAAAGTTCAACAGCTACAATAATGCTGGCATGCCCCCTTTTCCCATTATCATTCACGATGAGCCCACTTATGCTAAGAGTTCCAAAAATGCTATTAAAGTTCCTATTGTAATCAATCCAAATGCATATGATAACCTGGCCATCTATAAAAGTTTCCTAGGGACCAGCGGAGAGCTATCCATCAAAGACAAAACGACTAGTGTAATAAGCCACACATATGAAGAAATAGAAACAGAAAGCAAAATGACTGAAGCCATAGGAAGTAAACCCACTGACCTTTCCCAAGCGAAGGGGGTGACTAATAGCTCGGAGTGCAGGCTGGGTTCTGTGGCTCAAAAGGTCCAAGAGTTTAATAGCTGTCTCAGTAAGAGTCAGATATCACCGCAGAGAAGTCATAGTTCTGACCACAGCTCCCCATCAAGAGTTCAAAAGACAACACAGGAGCCTGCAGCAAAACCAGACATAATGCCAGAGGCTTCCGTTGGCAGCAGCGGTGGTAGAGAGAATGCGAGCACGGTGCTTTCACAGATTGTGGCTTCCATCCAGCCTCCCCAGTCTCCTCCAGAAACACCTCAGTCTGGACCCAAGTCTTGTAGCGTAGAAGAACTGTATTCCTTGCCCCCTGACGCAGATGCTACTAAAAACACGCTGGTACGACCCAAGTCTCTGTTTACATCGCAGTCTGAAATAGAGTCACCCAAGACAGTGGAAAGCACTGCCAATAAAGTGCAGAAAGATTCCTTTTCACAGCCCGTTGCCGCTCACTCTCCAAAGCCAGTGAGAACCACCCCGAATACCACAAGTCCCAAAACAGAGCAAGCCCCGCCATTTCCTCCTCCACGGTCCACCTCTTCACCTTATCACGCAAGTAACTTGTTGCAAAGGCATTTCAGCAATTGGAGCAAACCAAACAGTCCCACCAGGTCGACAGAGGCTGAGTCAATCCTTCATTCAGAAGGTCGGCGAGCTGCAGATGCGAAACCCAAACGCTGGATATCGTTTAAGAGCTTCTTCCGACGCAGGAAAACCGACGATGAGGAAGAGAAAGAGAAAGAAAGGGAGAAAGGAAGATTGGTGGGCCTTGATGGAACTGTTATACATATGCTCCCCCCTCCTCCTGTTCAACGTCATCACTGGTTCAGTGAGGCAAAGTCAGACTCCAGTGAGAAGCCGTCGATTGTTTTCATGTACAGATGTGAACCGGCGCAAGCCGAAGCCCAGGCTGACCATCAGAGCACGAGCGGGGAGTCTGAGGCCGCAGGCCCACTAGCAAAAGACAAAGGACAGACGCAGGAAAAGGCTCCAGAGAGCTCTGAACAGAAAGTGGCGAGCCATTCGTCACCACCTCAGCTTGCCAGGAAAATCCCCAGGTAATTTGCTCATCTTTTTTAGTCATTCAGTTGCAAACTGTCCTGTATATAGATACTTCTGAAAAGGGCAGACATTAAGGAGTTTTATTACATTGTGTAAATTGTTTCAAAGGATATTTATTTTTGGTAACAAAGCATGTTTTTTAAATCTCTGCATTATACTGGATATCTTTTTTTTTTTTAAGTTACTAGAAACAGTACCTGGTATTTCGAGTTTGTGGGCTCACTAATATGTCACATTAGCCATGTTACATTGAATTGGATACATTTTCCTGAATTTGTAGTTTAAGAAAGTGTTCTTATGATATAGGAAACTAAAGATATTTCTCTGCAGAAATAGAAGGCAACTATGGAAAAGTATAATCGAAATGAAAAGATCTGTGACTCATAAAAGGTGGTGCTAACTTTATCTCACATACCCAAGAATACAAGATATGCTAATTAACTTGATGCTACCCTGCAACATCGCTGCAGCACTCCCCAAATAAAACATGTGAAAATGTAATAATAGAATTAGATTATCTGTAAAATGATCTAGGTCTGTTTTGCAAGGCCTTCAATGAAGAATATACTTTGTCACCTAACAGTATTCAGATTCAGTAGAGCTGGTTGCTCCATTTCTGCCTGACAGTTTTGTTCAGTGTTTTCATTTTTAATTTTTTTTAAACCTGCATTTACTAAAACGATTGATGGTTTCAATTTCAGTGAAAATATTTAGCCAGTAGATACTTACTTTACTCCTGTAAGCTCAAGGTAGTTGAATGTTTTAGGTCCATCCGTTGGTTTAAAGGTCAGTTTGATCCCTTATCAAGGATACACATGCCTTCTTGGTTGCCACTGAACACGAAGAACCATGTTTATTTCCGGATATGTGTTGTTTTCAGCATATCACTGAGTTCCTACAGCGCATGACAGTGCATAACCTAAGAGGGCTGGAGACGTTTGTTGCAGCCAGTCACATGGGCATAGTATCTAGCACTGAGTCCAGACCACAGCTGTGAATGTATGAGAATGTCTTCAAATGTTATTATACAAACCAATTCCAAAATAGCTTCACACTTGCATTATTTAATTCATTATAACAATAGCCTTGTGGTAGGAAGCTTAAAAGTTTTGTAAAGTTTGAGCTATGCCTGAGCCTCAGAAAATGTGTCTTGGAGATGTTCTTTGGTTTTCTTTCTCTGTCTATGCAGGAAAGTTGCAGTGGTTTTTAGTTGAAATGGTTCTAAAGTTGACTTAAACTAATAGAAATCTCTGTGTAAGTACAGTTTGTTTACCGTAAACTGACTGCTGCTTGATGTAAAAGTAAAATAACTTTCTTAATCTAAGCAAGAGTGACAGTTTGCACCAAGTGTAACTTAATCACTGTTATATCAGTCACAGCTTGTGAACGCTGATACAGCCTTCTCGTGAGGATCAGGACTACTTTTCAGGCTGTTAGCCTTCTGTCGGACGTGGACAACTCTGGGCTTTGTAACGTAAGGTGATGATAGGGTTAATCGTAGTATGATGTAAAGCTGGTTTCAGTAGATTTACTTTTGAAGTAATTGCCCCAAATACAAGAGAGGACAGTCTCCAAAATCTTAGTGTACTGTCTGCTTCTGCAGACTTGGATGAACTGCAATCTCAGGGTCAAGAATTTTATTTTTATAACGTACATTAAAATTAACAAATGGAGTTTAAAAAAATCCCAGTAGGGAGTGTGGGTGTGAGTTTCAGAAACATTAAGTGCTTTTACAACCTGTGAAAGTTGGTAGGAGCCCTAAGTATTCAGCATGTCTGCAAGATGTACAGTACCACACAGAGGAGTGTGGGCGATGAGAAAAGGAGGTGCCCCTGTGTTTACAGTGCGTATCACAGCTCAGGGCTGAAGACGGTGGGGAATGTACCCAGGGCTAGAATAACCCTTCATAGGATTCTAGTCTCTCTAGACTTACCCTAAATTAAATGGGGAGAAGTAGGCAGTGTTAGAAAGCAAGTCAGTGAACTGGAGAATTTTTTACTGTCAACCCTCCTTTAGAGAAACACCTTTTTTATTTTCTGTTCAGGCGGACCTAGAGAAAGTGAGGTTGTACTGATATTTTTTTTAGCAGCACTCTTGAATATACTGCTATCAGGAGGTTTACTTGCTCCCACTTCCTTAGTGCCCAGCTCTTGCAGTGACAAGACAGTTCATGTGGTCACCTGTGGTGAACCAGACTGAGGAAGTGATCCAAGTGAAAAATAACTTTGCAGTTGCTTTTCAGCCAGATCAATTCACTGATCTGACAGGGGACCAGGCAGGAAGGAGCAGCTGCTTATCTCGGTGGTAAAAGGGCAATACTAGGCGAGTGGCCGTGGTCATAGGTGGCACTTGTTCTTAGACTACCCTAGAGAGGGTGCTGTTTTCTATCTTTGCACTATTGCTGCCCTTCCTACTGAAGGCAGTTGGTCATTCTGTCCCACCTCACTCACTCACTCTAAAAATTATGTTTGCTTTTTAACTTTCTGGAAGTCATGATGATATTGGTTAAAACCAAATCTCACAATTGTCCCTGGTTAAATTTGAATTTTCCATGTATTTGAATTGTAATTTCTTCTTTCTAACGGTATTGTTCTATGGTTTCTACAAATTTCAAAGAAAATACACTGAGGTGCTGAGCAATACATCATGGGAACACTGGACAGTAGATAACTTTACCCTTCAGTTATTATATTAGGGTACCTTGATGCAATTTGATCCCTTAAGTTACTTGGGTTTTTTACTTAATTTTTAATAGTATTAAAGAGACCAAATGAAACCTTACAGTGCCAAAAAATGAAGTTAATTTTGTTTAAGGTGCCTCTTTTGACAAAAGCCTGCAAGGATTGTGAAATTCCATTTCTGCACAAGCAGGAGACGTAACAGACAAGTGGTTCTACTTGGTTTGTGTTAACTATTGAGGTATTAGTAAGAGACTGATGTTAATTCAGGCTAAAACATGTGAAAGGAAAAGATGTTTAAAATCTTCAGTTAAGCTTGCAGAGGCTTGGAAGGAAACAGAAGACATAAAGATAGGAATCAATGGACGTGACACTTTACTAACTCAGAATGTCAAGCACAGTAAGCTCACTGAAAAACCAAACTGATGACCTCAAAAAATAAGATAAGCTTTAAAAATGTCAGATTACTAGGGAATCTTGAACTCAAATTAAATGAAGATACACTATTTCCTTACTTTGCAAGGGATTACAAAGCTGCTAAACATTGATAACATAACCACAAAACAGGGGTGAAGGTATTTCAAGTTATCACTAGAAAGGTCAGTTTTCCCCTTTGAACAGCACTTGCAAAATACACAGGTTTTTTTGAAAGCTGACAACTATCTCTGTTACACAAAAGAACTTCGGTTTGGTTTATCCGTGTGCTTGTTTCTTCCTGTTTGGTGCCTGGATGCACATATGGTGCTTCAAAAGGAGCTGCCAAATACTAATGTCTTAAATTTCCCAAAACTTTGTAGATAGATTAATTTTGCTAAAAGTCAGTGGTCACATCAGGTTTGTCATTCATTGGAACAAAAATCAGATGTTCCTAGAACACCTGTAGTTCATGATGAACCAGTTGTTCTCAGGCAAAACCTAAAACTGACTTCTAAAAAGATGACACCATGGTATTCCTAGCCTAAGGCACTGTAACTGTTGAAGGTGAGTAGTGAGGAATCCACATGAGTTTAAAAAAAAAAAAAAATTCTTCAAAGATTGTGTTACCTAGTGGACCAAACTTGCTATTGGAGTTTCACAAGTTTCTCTTCTTCATTGAGGCATCACTGCTTCTACCCAGTCACAGCTTTTTAGATTGAGATATTTTCTAAACAAAAACTGCAGCGCAGCCTTCTGGTTCTTTCTTTCCTATCTTCGTAAACCCTATGAGAACTGAAGTAGAACCTCATTCAGCACTCGCTGCTTTAGATGGCAGCGCCTTTGTCAATCAAGGTACAACTGATTTGTGCACAGCCATTTCCACTTCAGTTACGTATTAACTGAATCGTTTCCCTTCATAGCTACAAGTCAGCCATAACTTTCCTTTATAGGATCGGTGGGCCAGATTTGGATGAACTAAAGATAAAACTGTATGTTTACTGAAATACTTCCTTCAAGTAGTGAGGTCTGTATATTCATTCCATTCTGGTTTACATGAGAAACCACTTCTTTGTAGCTCATGTTGGGATTACCAATCCAATTCCTAAAATGATGTTAAATTTGTCAAAAGGATTTGAGCTCGTAATCAATAGATATGAATTCTGTTGTTCATGGCTGCAGAACATCACTATCCCGTTGTCATACCTTGCTTCCCAAAGGAGTGAAATGCTTAAGCACATTTTAAAGATTTGTTTTGAGTGCTTTTCTTAAAAAAGCATGCTTCTCTATTGCAGTTACACACTACGTCAGCAATTAGCATATTTTTTAAGGCTATTTTTTGTTAAAAAAATTATGGCATTTCACTGGACACTTTCGTTGGGCTCTAATACTTATCAGAGGACATAGATATAAAAGCTTTTGGAAATGTCTTGTTATCCTTCAACTCTTACCCCAGTGCCACAGTCATAGTACAAATATTTTACCTTGAGTAACTTCCAGAAAGATTGCTGCTCCTGAAAGTAACATAAATGTCAGTGACAGATGAGGGTCTTTTAGAAAATTGGCCAAAAGCTTGCACAGTTCCTGCCTTCCATGGAAGCGTTTCACTAGTATAAGTGCTACTCAAATGGTTTTTGTTGTGCTGATTGCCTTGAGGTTGCTGAGGACTTTTCACCCTGTTTGCTTGAAGTTGCAGTAAGCCAAATGTGATTTCAGGAATCTGAGTTTAAACATCAAATTTCCATATACAGGCAGTGCAAAAAAAGACAATTCCAGGGACGTGATCTAGGGCACCAACACTAAAAGGCCCCAAATGGGTAATCACTTCAGTGTTTTTTTTTAGTATTTTGTTACACCACTAACTGTTACTTAAGGACAAAAGTATAGGTGACTAGGGCTAGGGG